GAGATCCCCACGAGCTCATTCTCCTCCGTGCCTCAGCAGCGGCGGGTCCTGAACCGCGGGAAACAGATGGTTGTCCCTCTCCACTCGAGAAGAGAGACAAACGAGAACGGAGCTTTTTCACTGAAAAAATGCTCGCAGTGCACGCAGATTGCCCCCTCGAGGACATCGCGTGCGTGCTCTTCGACAAACAAACAATGCATGGAACGTGTGAGTCATTGGGTGTCACTTTGATAGCGATGACATGGACGCACACACCTTCTAAATGTTCTGCTAGTGCTTGCCATAATAAAATAGAGATAGCTCTTACTTTTGCTTTGGAAATGCACGCTTCAAACAGAACGGTCAGTGAAGACGAAGAAAGTGATGATGTGCGCTACCGTCGCCTATTTTGTACTAGTTGCGACGGTAGTGACATCATGGCTGTCGCCGGCCAAACAAGTTGGTGTTTTTTCAATGTAGGCTTCAGACACGGGTCACGACGAGGCGTTCCCCATAGCGACCCCTAGAGGACGCAGTTCGAAGTTCCACGAAAGGGAACCCACATTATTTGACTCTCCTCACACTCTTTCTTACCTGCCTCAGTCACATTCATATTGATGGTCCATTATCTTTGGCCCTTTGTCTCTCCGGTGTGAATCACTAAATATTCATGGTCGTCGTCACTCCCTCGCATAGGGCCGTTTTATCACAAATCATGTCTTACAAAAGTTAAATCAATATATTGTTTTCTGTGAACTAGTGAACAGCAGGATTTTCACATCATTTTGTGGCAACTAAGGTCTACTAAGTCTGTTAACCTGGGGTGCAGTTTTGGGACCCACAGCTGAAAATGACCTACCTAACGTAAAATGGTAACAGTTCCTGACAACAGTGTGCTACACAGACAATTTTGGTGTCTTTGGAATAATTGATATTGCTCAAAAAGATAAAAAGTTATAGACACTGAAGTGCCTTGAAAAAATTACACCACACTGAATGTTTTTTTTTAATTTCATATACAAATACATGAAATAAGTCCTGGAGCAATCCAGAATTGTTTGACTTGTTATTACGACGAATCTGGTATGTACTGCGTTTTGATTATGCATGTTTTGATGTGTACTGCTTACACAAATTTAGCAAATACATTCCTTATAAGCTTTCCATTGAAAAACAGCGATCTATCGATATGATATATAGTTGGTAAAGATTAATTTAGTCCCGTTTCATTTAATCTATTCGTAAACATTGACACTTGCAAACAAAGAGCGTTCAGTGCACTGGTCGTCCAGGTGCGGGTTAACAGGTTAATTAAAGTGCTTTGTTCAATATAAGTAGAGAGTAAAGTGCCTATGAACATGAATAACAATGTAAATTGTTATTAAAAAGTCTACATTACCAAACATTAAATAAAGCTGTTTACAGTTATTGTTTATGATTAGTTCACGTTAACTAATGTGTTAACTAATGTTAACTAATTAAGCTGTTAACATGAATAGATAACATTAATATAAGTGCAAGTTAACGTTAACTTAGATTAACTACTGTTGAACAGAGGTGTTGTTCATGGTTAGATCATATTAACTAATGCATTAATTAATGTTAACTAATGACGCCTTATTGTAAAGTGTTACCATTTTTTAATCTTAATTTTAATTTGGTAAAGATTAATTTAGTCCCGTTTCATTTAATCTATTCGTAAACATTGACACTTGCAAACAAAGAGCGTTCAGTGCACTGGTCGTCCAGGTGCGGGTTAACAGGTTAATTAAAGTGCTTTGTTCAATATAAGTAGAGAGTAAAGTGCCTATGAACATGAATAACAATGTAAATATGTACAACAAGTCTACATTACCAAACATTAAATAAAGCTGTTTACAGTTATTGTTTATGATTAGTTCACGTTAACTAATGTGTTAACTAATGTTAACTAATTAAGCTGTTAACATGAATAGATAACATTAATATAAGTGCAAGTTAACGTTAACTTAGATTAACTACTGTTGAACAGAGGTGTTGTTCATGGTTAGATCATATTAACTAATGCATTAATTAATGTTAACTAATGACGCCTTATTGTAAAGTGTTACCATTTTTTAATCTTAATTTTAATGGATTTGACAACATATTTGACATAACTGAATTTAACAAACAATTTACAAATAACAAACAGGGAAAACAATAAAAGGCATGACTTATTTCACATCCAGCTAGCCAGCTCTGTCCAAGCTGTTGTCATAGGGTAATAGGCTTTTTTAATAGAATAAAAAATAGCATGGGTCCATAGAAAAATTGTAGGAAAACTATAGCCTAACTGTTGCACTTTGTTTTTTGCAGCATGGCAGCTCAAGAACACCAAACGTGCAAAAAATCTGGCACTTTTGCCTCAAGGGCGCCCAGACTAGACTAGACATAGCCATAGCAAAAATGGGTGCAGGAATCTCATTTTGCATGGTACCTTTTTCAGATTTGAAATATAAACTCATGAGACAAGTGACTTTCAACCCATTACTTTTCTGGATTGCTCCGGAACTGATTTCATGTATTTGTATATGGAAAAAAAAAATCAGTGTACAATTTTTTTCAAGGCACTTGCAAGGTGTCTATAACTTTTTATCTTTCAACTCTGGAAAGAAGACCTTTAAGCTTTACTATCCATCATCCAAAGACACCAAATTTGTGTGTGTAGCACACTGTTGTCAGGAACTGTTACAATTTTAAGTTAGGTAGGTAATTTTCAGCTGTGAGTCCCAAAATGGGGGGTGCAGGTTAACAGGTTAACGAGCCCAAGCCCAAAACTTGGCAGAGACTTGGGTCCTGACGTCTAATTTGTTTGCTATATCTTTTCAGACTGATCTGGCCACAATAAAAGGCCACTCTAAAATGTGCAGTTTTACTGTATTGGGGGGTCCGGGGGGGTCCGAAAACCAGTCAGTATCTGGTGTGACCACCATTTGCCTCACGCAGTGCAAGACATCTCCTTCGCATAGAGTTGATCAGGTTGTTGATTGTGGCCTGTGGAATGTTGGTCCACTCCTCTTCAATGGCTGGTTGAGTAAATGTTGAGTGATATTAATTTTTTTTTTTAAATATTACATTATTGTGTTACAACTTCACATTTAATATCTGGGGTCTCTGGAGACACTAGCAGCCAAATGTACATCCCAAACGGATAGCTTATAAGGGTTAACTTAAACTGACAAAATTGTCTGACCTGAATTAGATTAACTATATTTATGTACTGAACAAACATTTCTGTTTTTCTGATGTTCAGTTTTCTGGCCTGCTGTCCTTTCTGATCATCATAAACATCGCAGTAGGAGTGACGGCCTTTATGTGGCGTGGAGAAGTAAGCACACATAGAGATCATGAGCACATATCTGAATAATAGTGCAGATTTGAAAGCATTTGAGTGTTTGTTGTGTTGTAGATGTCAGACAGGTTGGGAAAGTTCTACATCAAGATCTACACTCAGTATCCGCACACCAGGCGTAATAATGAAACCATGGTTCTCAAACTATTCCACAAAACTGTAAGTCTCAAACACACATACACACACACACACACACATATGTTGATTAGGGTGACCATACTTCTAAATTGCTGGATTTTGGCTTTGTTATGCTATTGTTTTCATAGCTACCAAAGTTAATGACTGGAAAAAGAGGTTTGACCAATAAAGTGCAGGCAATGTACATAATCAACCAATGACTTTTGGTCAAATCAAAGCAAATACACATATACATAATGTATGAGGACTGTAGAGAGCATCGGTGTGTTTGACTTGAAGCGGCGCTGCGCAGACCGATTGTTGTATGACATTAAATTACTGTGAGAGCAATAAGAGAGCAGACGGCTCCTTATGCTTTGTTGCCCTCGCGGTACATTGATGTCATACACTGATTTCCTATTGACGTCAGATGTGTTTTACTTGAAGCGGTGCTGCACAGAATGATCAAAGACAAAATGCAGACATTTTAGGCGATTTAGAAGTCATGGCCAGGACATGTCTGGGAAAAAATGGAAGTATGTTCACCCTAACATTGATACTCCTATGATTATGACGACATCCCATACACATAATGTTTTTTTTCTGATCCAAAATTTGTTTAGTCTCTAACCATAATCATACTCCTAAAGGAGAACGTTCTGCGTTTTTTACATTTTTAATAAAAAATAAAATATTTGTTATGTTTATTTATTGATTTGAATTATGAGGACATCTGTATGTTGGGGATGTATGCCTGAACCCTGAATACACACCACATTATGAGGACATCGGCTCATGATGAAGGTAAACCAGTGGAAACATAATCTAACAGCTGTGTGTGTCTGTGTGCCAGTTAGACTGCTGTGGCATTGGTGAACCGATTGAACAGAGTGTGCTTGACACCTGTCCAGAAGGCAACTTCCCGAAGCAGATCCCATTTAATGTGAGTCAATTCCTGTTTGTCTTAAAGCCTGTTCACACCAAAAACTATAACCATAAAGATATAACAATAACTATTTTAGCATTCACACCAGGGGACAATAACTATGATGATTAATATAGTTATCGTCAGCTAGTGTGTATGCTAATATAATTATCATCATAGTTATTGTCCACTGGCGTGAACACTAATATAGTTATCGTCAGCTAGTGTGTATGCTAATATAATTGTGTTCACACCAGTGGACAATAACTATAAAGATAACTATATTAGTGTTCACACTAGCTGACTATTGGGGCAGTAACCTAATGGTTAGAGAGTCAAACTTGTAACCAAAAAGGTCACAGGTTCGAGTCTCAGGTCTGGCAGGAATTGTCGGTGATGGGAGTGAATGACCAGCGCTCTCTTCCACCCTCAATACCACGACTGAGGTGAGACCCTTGAGCAAGGCACAGAAACCCCAACTGCTCTCCGGGGGCCGCAGCAAAAATGGCTGCCCTTATGATCTGGGTGTGTTCACGGTGTGTGTGTTTGTTCACTACTCACTGCTGTGTGTATGCACTTGGATGAGATAAATGCAGAGCTATGTGTGCACTTGGATGGGTGAAATGCAGAGCACAAATACCACATGTCACCATACTTGACCACATATCCATTCTATATTAGTGTTTACACCAACAGATGATAACTATAGCAATAAGTAACATTAGTCAAGTCAAGTCACCTTTATTTATATAGTGCTTTATACAATACAGATTGAAGGTAATGAGATGCTACATCTGAATGCTTTTGGAACGTGTGACCATGTACTGAAGCACATTTGAAATCAGTCCAATAGAGTGGCGGGACATCACGGCCGGGGTGACATAGTGACCAGGAAGCTTAAAAGCGCATCCGGTGTAAACATTGTTAGCTTCTGATAGGTCGAAGCAAGCACTCACAGGGATGCAGGAAGTATGTCAGGGTGATTCAGTGTATCTTTCCTTTTGGGGAGCCATGGTTATAGACATAACCTAGGAATGTTCCCCTTCAGGAACTTGAGCTGCATTGGAATGCTTTGGGAATGAGAATACCAACTTTTCTCAAGACAAAAGCACTCTAGAGCCTGGAGTGGTCCCCAAACCTAGGTTAGAAAACCTGACAAAGGTGACCGGGATAGACTAGCCCTCAAACTCACAAACATCAAACACACCAGAAAAAAGGCCTTAGAGACTGCCATACTTCAGGTTGAGTGGGCTGATGCATGAGACGCGCGGACATGTAAATGCCCATATCACCTCTGTAAACAAAGCAGCAACATGTTCAACTCGGATATTTTTAATTTCTGGAAGAAGACATGCTGAGAAGAAGATGCTTTTTGTTTACCTCAGAAGAAGGAGATGCAACCCGCAGCTTGATCCAGAGGAGGAGATCATTTATGCCGAGTAAGTAATGTTTCTTATTGGCATTAGATAACGTGTTATTGTGACATAAACTTGAACGCATTTACTAGTGGACTTTTCCCAAACTATAATTCCAGACTAAAATGTGTAAAATTGAGTGCGACATTTTGAAATATGATAGGCAGCCTTTCATTACATCTAAATGTTGTATGAAGTGAGGATGTTTTTATGTTCGATATACTATAAAACAACGATATAAAAGTAAGTTTATATGAAGACAGGCATGAGTGTTTACACAGTATGTAAAGAATGTTTAGACCAATCTTTACTGTGAAATACTGAAATATCTGCTCAAACGTGATGTTTATAATGTGCTTAAAAAATTTTGTTTCTCATAAATAAAATGACGCTTTTGTACTGTATGGAAATATATACAAAGCATGTGTGCATCTATGATACAAAATCATTTAGGCAATATTAGTGATCGCTAATGTAATAATATAGTTGCTCCTGATGCCAACATGCTCACTGACTTATTTATTTATTTAAATGACCAAATACCTCCAGTACAGGTGAGCACTGCTCATTTTCTCACGAGTCTTTTCAAACTGTTTCTTTCTGACAGCGCTGTACCAACATCAGATGTTCAACTACACTGGGCTGACTTACAAAAGTTCTACATGAATGTGATAAAATAAGCTCCACTACTGATGATGGGGCTTTTTTTCTTTCTTGAATCAATGGAAAGAAGCAGAAAACGCTTTGGAAATAACAGGTATACTTTACTTTTTCCAACAGTTGAACAGGATCTATTTTTTTAGGAATGGCACAAAGGTGCATGACTGTTCAAGTCTGTGTGACAATAATGTGTATTCAACCTTCATTGTGTAGATTTTGATAATACTGTGTTGTAAATAAAATACAAATAATAAAAAAAAAACATTAGTTTACTCTCACATTCTTTCTTACCTGACAGTCAAAGTCTCGTTGATGGGCCAATAAGGGGCCCTTTGTGAATCACTAAATATTCATGCCCATTGTCACTCCCTCGCATACAGCCTTACTAACACAAAACATGTCTTAAAAGTTACATCAATATATTGTTTTCTGTGAACAGGATGATTTTCACATGATTTTGTAGCAAAATCTCTAGTCTACCACACCCAGTTCTCAAAAGTTTTGTGAACAAATGTTCTGTATGTGTATTAAGGCCTTATTTTAGTGACTTAAAAATTGTAGTTTTCCCCTAACCACTAGGGGTGTAACGATTCACTCATTTTATCGATGCATCAATTACAAACACTGACGATGCATATGCATCGATCTTGAAACATGATTTTTGAATCGTGAATCGTCGATTTCGGACAGTAATCGATTTAAAATGCTAAGCATCGAATGAATCGTGATTTCTATAGTGATTCAATGCTTTTAAAAATATATACACATTAAATTACTACAAGCACGACTTAATGAAGACCTTAAACAGTGTTCGTGCCCTCGCATCTCTCCTTCACGTGCTCCACTATAGTGTCTAAAGCATCGGTACAGTTCCACTGAAGGATAAATGTGTTTTAACAATGTCGTTGAATCGAATGTATGAAGGAAGCTGTTAAAATAACCACAGCATTAACAACAACCTTGAAATCAAAGAATGAACTGATGAAACGTTAAGACAATAAACATGTAGTGAATCAGCTCATGGGGAAATATGAATAATTAATCATAACTAGTTATAATTAATTATAAATATTTAGATCCGCTGTAGATATTTACTTGACCTCTCAGGGTCAACTGTCTGTCAATTGTGAATCCAGAATCGAATCGAATTTAATCGTTCTGAATTTGCAAAGATCGTTCTTGAATCGAATCGAAAACCTATTAATCATGAATCGAATCGATTCGCTGTCTACCCAAAGATTCACAGCCCTACTAACCATGCATAAATGTTGTTTTCTCAAAAACACGTACATTCATGCTGCCTACATATTATTGTAGCACAGTTTGTGCTGATTACAGTGTAATCAGATTTTAGCCATTCGTATGTTTTTAATATACTGAAAAAAGCACAAATGTCAGGGCATGTCAAATCTTCTCCAGGGCCCTAAAACCCCTCAGACCCTTGAGGGTTAATGAAGACGCAGAGGCTTGCCCCTCCTGAAAGAAGGCGATGGGCAATAACTCACAGTGCTCACACTCTGCGTCCTCGAGGGCAAGAACAGTGTGCTCTTCGTCCAGACACTCCAACCAGTAATCATGCAGATCGTCCTCAGAGATAAGCCATACACACAGCGGCAAGCATCTCTTAGCAGACTTGCTAGACATGTCCACTCTCTTTTTCTTTTCTTTTTTTTGTTTGTTATAAACAACAGCACACACTGAAGACACACACAGCACACAAAGCAGTCTCCGAAGACAAAGAAACCTAAAGGTGTGTCCATTTCACATCTATTTATAACCTCGCAGGTGCATGCATTCCAGTGACGTCACTGACTGAGGTTATTTGAGTGGGAAGCTATACATAGGCAATGTATTCAGAATTTGTGTAGTGATTTGTTGAGCTGCTGATGGTTTCATGGTTTATCATGGTTTTTCCCAGGCTGGGCCTTTACAAGACTCATAATGCATGAAATAATTATAGAACAACTTAATTTTTATCACTGTCCAAACAAAGACGCTGCACGTAGCATGAGCTGTTTATGATGTGAATTAGATAATAGTAGATAATAATAATAGATAATAGTAATTGTGCAATTTAAAGCAAAAACAGCATGGTCTGGCTTTAGCTTTGTGAAATTGTTACATAAAACATCTGCATGAAACAAAAACAGCAGAAGGGCTGAATGAAAATGCAAATTCACTCTCTGACAGCAGGTGGCACTTATGGAGCAGAAGCAATACAGTGTTTCCTTGGTCACCGCTATAAACAAAGCAGCACAGTGCTTAAAAACACAATTTTTTTATGCATTATACTAGGGTACTCAAGTTCAGAGGCCAAGGGGGCCCCATTTAAACCACATGAAATGCGATGGGCCACAAATTACAATTTGCATTATAAGACTTTAAGACAATATTTGCAGTTTTAATGATTTAGAAATGCTGTTTAATTTGATACTGTGGGCAAACAATAAACAAAAAAAATGCAGTTTATTACTTATCTAAGTCTTGCTTGTCCTTGTCCTATTTCAAACGATACTAAACATGAAAATAAAAAATTAAAAAGGAAAAAAATAAACAGTTTGTTATGCTATATTAATGCAAAAAAAAAGCATTCATACTCAAACAGAGTATTAAATAAACTCAGAATGTTCAAACTCAGAATATTCTTGAGCAAACATAGGAAACATAACGATGTGTGTCAATATATTGTCTTAAAGTGACTGGCGCTTGGGCCATCACAATGTTAATTCAGCTCTTAATTTGTCATATATATATATATAAATTACCGATAAGAATACCGTTAAAATACCGAATCGATAAGCAGTATCGGTAAGAGTAGTAATACCGTTAAAACCTTAACGATACCCATCCCTAGTGATGACAGTAAACACGACTGTGACAATATATGGTTTATCTGTGTTCTTCAAGCCATCTCTAGTATTTTCATAATGATAAAGTATATTT